GGTCTTAACTTCCAAGTTTTTCATCTGCCAAAGTTCGTCATGAGGGTTTTGTGGGAAATAAATTGGCTAACTTTATTTTCTATGTTTGCCTTTCACTCAGATGATGGCTTTTCTCTAATTTTTTTGAACTTCAAGTATTAAAATCTTTGAATTGGTAAATGAAAGCAAGGTATTATTTATCACTACTTTTTTATGGGAAAAAGTTATAAATGCAGGAAATAAATGATTAGATCATTCATTCAATTGCTCATATATTTTAAATTTCTTTCATTTTGATTTATTAATTCAATTCCTTTCATTCATTCATCTTTCTTTCATTTCTACCTCAAAACTAGATTGCCTGTGATGGTATTGGTACTGATCGGCACTGATCGCCCATTCATTCATTCCTTATTGATCACTGAATTGTTGCGTACTCTTCTGGTGGTGTGTATGTAACGCTGTTCCTTGTCTCTATACTCGTGAAGTGGAATAGTTAACGTTTCCTTGCATGGCTTCTGACCATTCGCTTGGTCAACATCAGTAACGAATTTTTGGCACGATTTGGAGTCTAATAAAATATGGCCAATCACGGCCCAAGTTATGGTCTTAGTCGAGAGCTAGAGCGGAAGGTATCATTTACATTGCACTAGGTTAGGTATTGAAAATTCTCGTAAAAGCCAAAAGAAATTCGAGAAATTACCGTGTGTTAGCCTTCCAATATTTTTTCTTACAGAATGAGAAAAAATAAAGTTTTTCAAAAGTTTCTGCACTGTTTTCGAAGCATGGGTTTTAGCACGCACAATTTTGTTGTTCATTTGGAATTCTAGACTTTACTCACTTGCTGAATTAAACTTTCGAATACTTTCATTCCTGGAATTATCTGTCATCAAATTATTTTTTGATAAACATTACTTTGTTAGTACGATCAGTAGTAGTAAGTCTAATCATTAATTACATCAAGTATAATTTGTTAAGATTAAGCACTATTTTTTATTCATTTTAAATAAATAAGCATTTGCTCTGTGTAATGACATTTTCGCCTTCATTTTATTACTATTTGTCTCTCAATCTCTTTCTAAAACTGAAAATAAGTCTTGGCACTCTCTACAGTGCTGTGGTAAATTTCATAGAGCTATTAATATTTGTTCGTCGCTGAAATTCCAACATTTGCATAATTTGAAATTGGTTTTATTGAAGTAATATAAAGCAACTTTCATGAAAAATTAGAGATCTGTTCTTAATGTGATAGTCGATCATAAATATCAAACATACAGCTAAGGTATTGTTCAAAATGCAATTCACTGCTGACTGGAAAGTGGTGGAGAAATAGCACAGTTCTTTGTTAGTGCTTAACCATTTGTTCTTTTATGACAATATTTAATTAAAGTGACATTATAGTTGGCGGATAATTGCTAAAATTTCGATACTATTTTTATTTCTTGTTGTTATGTTTAGTGATATCAGTGTAAATGATAACGAAATTATTTCGAACAAGTATTAGATAAAATTTAGAAAGTTAAAACAGTGGTAAATATTCTTTTAACGAATATCATCACGTAAAAAAATATTTTTCAAATTTTCTGGCAGACAATTTTTTTCAACTCTTGTGATTTGTA